ATAACACATAATAATAACTCATATACTGCATACTGCATCGGACCGCAGCCGGAACACATAACACCTAGACATGCCTGAGTCACAAAGACATCAAGCATACTGAACTACTTCTCGGGACCACCCCGGTATCGGACCGCAGTTCGGATCTACTGCTATCTACATGGGCCGGCATTGTGGCCGTAGACCCGTTCCTACTGGAAGGAAACTCATCTCACACTGCTGAAGTCCTGCTGACAAAACCATAGCTGCTGGATGACAGATTCCCGATCTGTCAATATCAAAATAACACCCAATTAATAATTGGGTTCCACTACATAACTATAAATACATACCTTGGATAATTACTACATTACCCCTAGCTTGGCTTACCCAAGCCCAAGGCCCAATCCATAGGCCCAAAGTCAACTAGGGATCAAAGCCCAACATATGGCCCAACTTTCCAAATTGGGCCCAAACCTCTACATGGACTTCCCTTAAGGCCCAATTGTTCAGTCCAGTCCAACATGTCTCATTCTAAGGTCCCAATATCATACAACCATCTAGGCCCAATCTATGGCCCATCAATGGCCCAATTTTCCAAATTGGGTGCAATCCTTCATATGGGCCTTACCCTAAAGCCCAACTAATTACTCTAGTCCATTTGATTATTCTTGGATGACCCATTAATAAACCAATTACCAAAATCCAATCGAAAGGCCCAACTCAAGGCCCAAGTGAAACTAGGGTTTCACATAAAATAACGATTAGGGTTAAGTGTTTCTTACTTAACTCATTAAGGACTTAATCCATTAAGTCCTTTACTCTACTAGATCAATGATATAGAGAAAATAGGCTTAATACACAATCCAATCTCAATAGCCCAAAAGTGGGTCCAATAAGTCTAAGGCCCAATTGCTCACAATTAGGGTTTTCTAAACCCTAATTAGGGTTTCCACTCAAACATGGCCCAATAGGCCCAAAATTAATCTTTAAGCCCATTAGGGTTTTGGCTAGGTCCATTAGGGTTTTGCTTGTGGGGAACCACCCACTACCACCTCGGTTAGTGGTGGTCAATGGCGGCTCATGGCGGCGGCCACCACCTTACGATGGTGGTTATCATTATTTTTATTATTAACCAAAGCTAATTACAATTACAGTGTTTAATCCAAACATAAACACACACACACACTAACTAACACGCACACACACACACAGCCACACCATGGTGGTCGGCGGTGGCGCTTGGCGGCAGCCACCACCTCGCGGTGGTGGTGGTGGCTGTTCTCATTTTCCGGCTAAACAAACCACCACAACCTTATGAAAATCAAATACAACTGGTCTACTAGGATACACACCCATACATAAACTCGTAGAGGTGGCTGGTGGTGTCAAGATCCGTCATAAGGCGGTAGGAGGAAGGTTACACGGCGGCGGCAAGCGGTGGTTTGCATCAACAGCCACCACCTCACGGTGGTGGCGAGTTTCCTTGAGTCTCGGCCTATCGACACACGACGCAAACGCAGCTGATCCGCCTTAGGGATGAGGAGTTTGACCGGAGCACTGATAAAGGAAGGTGGCGCGCCGGCTATCTGTTGTGGGACGGAGCGGCGACCGTAGATCGAAAAACGGGATGGGGGCAGCGCACTTGATGAAGCAGTCGACTGGTGGAGGTTACAACGCCGAGGCCCGACATCAGCCTCTCGACCGGTCCTTCCCGAACGCATTGTCGGTCTAAGCGGCTCTTCTCGACAACCCGACTTCTGGCTACAACGGATATGGTGGCGGCTGGACGCCCTCCGGTGATGGCGGCTATCGGAGGTGAAGGAGGAGGGTGGGGAAATGGCGACCGATGCTTAGGGGGGGTTGGCGGCTGCAACACATGCCTTAGGGTTAGGGTTTCACGAGTTATATACCCCGACCAAATAGAAACTTTCCCATAATTACAATTCCAGCCCCTCCTTCTCACATTCCTTTCAATCTAAGTTCCTATTTTACCTTTTTAACCCCATCTTCTGAAATTCTATACAAATAAACTCCGGAATTTACCAATTAGCCCCTTAACCTCAAAAATCTTTTCAAAAGAAGTCCCATAAATTACCATTTAGTCCCTGCCTTCTTAAATACTTACAAAACTAATCTGAAACTCACACTTTTAAACCCCCAACTTCTAATATTGTAACAATTAACTCCTCGAGACCAACTCTTATTATAAAATTATTGATTTTAAGGCTACTATCCATTTCATCAACTTTATCTATTTATTCATTTAATAAACGGGGTGTTACAGTTTCACCCAGACATTAGTACGCCCAGCGTACACAAGTGTACGCCCAGTGTACTAAGGCGGACCTTAGTACGCCTAGCGTACTCTTATGTACGCACAGCGTACTCCCTCTTGGTCCAAGTTTGCAAACTTGGCCCTTAAACTTATCTTGGCTCTTCACTTCCAACCCGAAGGATCATAAATGACAAGGTAATGATAGAATAGGGTTCGGGATTACCTGCCAAATCTCGGGATGTTACAAGTCGATCATACTATGGAAGTAGGTTATGAAAGTAGACTGTCATGAATGGGTTTTTGTAAGATTGTCTAAGGTGTTAGACATAGCAAAGTTTTCTACAAACATTCATGAGTGCTCTTGAAATAAGATTTGAGTATTGGACTAAACCCACACTCACATGAATCACTTCATGGAATTTATCACGAGTGATTGTGAGATGATAATATCGTATAATCTTCAAACCAAGATATATGAGTTGTTGATTATGAGTTGGTTGTACATTGGTAGTGCGAAACCGCATCAGTAACTTGATGTTATAAAACGTACTGTTGTGTATGATTTAACGAGTAGTTAGTACAAGCATATAACTCAAAGTTTATGTGTTCCTTTTATCCTAAGAGGATTAAAAGTGATATCTTGGGCCCCCCCGATGATTTTGTTTTAACTTATGTGTCGGGCCCGGTCAGGACTCAATTGATGTGTTCAATTAAGTTCTATGTCAGACAAATCGGAAATCGGGAAACAAAACTGTAGGACAATAAGTATGACTATGTTTCATGTATTTTTCCACGCGATATCTTGAAGAACAGAGGATTATATGATCCCTCATCTAATGGACGCGTCAGAGTTCGACAGTGGCTTTTTGAGAGCTACGATTGCTAATCGGATTTTAAGTTACATTGGCAGTTATAGTTATTAGACTTATCCAAGTGGGAGACTGTTGGATTAGGTGTTTAAGCCCATAACTATAATTGGTATGTACTTGACCCAATAGTAGCATGGTCCATTTCGGGTTGCCTTCACCAAAACAATTTGATAGATGGGTATTTGAGAAAGAGGTTATTTATGATTTATAAATATATTATAAGAATAATATATTAACTGAGAAATCATATTATTTAATTAGTATTGATCAAGAATAAATATGGAATTAATTTAGTGATCAAAAGAGACTAATTAAATTAATAGGGACCGATTATGTAAATCAGTGATACATATGGATTGGGCTAATAATCCATGATTGATTTGTGATGGGCTAAGCTTGTGGGTTAGTCCATGAAATGTTAATCCAAATCAATTGTTGGATCATAAGCTTAAGTGTAAGAATTAGGGTTACACATGACTCTTGGTATTCTACATTATATATATATGTAACCCTAAGCACTAAAATCGGCTATCACTTGCATTCCAAGAAGAAGAAACCGATTTTGGGGAACTCACTAAGCTTTGTGCTTATAGTTGTTGTTTATGGTTTCAGGTACTTCTGGTTCAAAAGGGAAGGGTCCGACTTGATCGCAGCGCATACACCCATATTTTCCGCAACCTTGAGATTTTGGGATTGTACGATGATAACAGTTTTTATTATAAAATACCTTTAAGTGTTTGAGTAAACGATAAATGGGTGTTTTGGTTGTTTTAAAAATGAAATTTTTACCTTCATATTTTGGGGTGTTACATTGTATCGATTTAACGGAACAATTTCGACTTTACAATAGGATGAATGATGGGACCATGAAGAACAACTATATTTTGTCTAGTAGAGAGCTATTATCGAAAAAGAGGCGGAGATATATGAGGTTGATTCTGAGAAGAAGTCGGTGCCTCCTCCGCCTACATATATATTTCGTCTGGAACGACTAGGCCTGCACTTTGCCGTCGGATTGCCGTCGAATCCCTTCTTCTCTTCAATGACCTTGTACGTTCATCTTGTTGTGGATGTCGACCAAAGTAGTGAGAAATTGACTTTGTGCTTGATTTCGGGAATTTTTGGAGCAATTTTTTAAGAACGGTTTCTAAAACAAAATTTGATTTCAGGTTTTGTATACAACTTTTAATTCTGAGTACACGATGACAATGGTTTTCTTAGTTAATTAGTTCTTTAGATTGTAGAATGGATTTTTTTGGATTATATTTAGATTTCTGATTTCACGACGAAGTTTCCGACGATGGTGGCCACAACGGTTTCTGGTGAGAGAGCGGATTAAAGAGAAGGGACGCGAAGAAATAGTCTACAAATACGTAATATATGGCAATTACAGAGGTTTCTGGTGGTTCCGTCGTGATCTAGTGGTTCACAACCGCGATCTAGTGGTTCCGGTAGCCGCGAGCTGGTGGTTCCGGTGGTGGTTGGCCGAGTTCCAAAGGTGTTTCCTTCATCTGATTGATTATTGATACGATGGAGTGAGAGTTAAGGGGAGAGATGAGCGATGAGAGGGTGAGATGGTTGGTTAGGGTTCTATTAATTATTTATTGTATTTGGAATAATAATTAATAAACAATAAAAATTTTGGAAAAAGAAATATAAAGGGCAACATAGTCTTTTTACCTCTACAAGGGACTAAAAACACAACAAAATGATATGTTAGGAACTATCCGAATACAAAAAAAATTTAAGGACCAAACCTGAAATCTTTGCAAACGGTGGGAATAATTTGTTCTTTTTTCTAAAACAAAAGTGATGGGGTCAAAAAGTCAAAAGAGTGGCCTCCTCGACGTATACAAATCTTTGAAAACCCCGTCGTCATCTTCTTTCTTCTTCTTCTCGTTCTCGACTGTGCGTAGTATTTTATTCGGGGTTGGTACACCTACCCCTCCCCTCACCCCACCCCCACACCACCTACTATTGACGTTCTTCCTTAACCGCTATTCCATCAAAAACCCAAACGACCTGTGAAGAACTCAATGGCGAGCACCACCTCCTTGGAAGATGTACCTTCAATGGACATGATGACCGAACTTCTTCGCCGATTCAAGTGTTCATCTAAGCCTGACAAACGCCTCATCCTCATAGGTACACTTTTTTACATATCGTTCTTCCAGATTATGTTAACTCTTCCTTTTAGGGTTTGTTTTGAGATCTGTAAATGTTTCCTCGAATTGGGTTACAGCTCCATAGTCTCGAGTATAATAATTGTTCTATCCCCAAATTATGAGCTTAAACCACGTTCTCGCTTCCATCTCCAATCTTATAATTTTGTTGAATTCCGACGTACGAAAGTTTTAGGGTATAATGGTATAGTGTTCCATTAGTCTGCTGCATGTTCATGGTGGTCGTTTTTTTGTGTTTCTAAGATCTGTCCAAATGTGAAGTCTATACCTTGACTTTTGATCTGAGACGTGAATTCCTAGGAATTTTGGTTTATGAAGACTTGATTTGTGGCAAAAAATAATACCAAATTTGGAATTTTACATTCGAGATATGAGAATATTGGTATGAATTTGATTTGATTAGAAGTTTAAATTGCAAAAAGAAAGCCTTTTTGATAAATTTTATCTGCTTTGCTATGAATGAGTTGAAGATTTTGGATGATATTTTTATCAGATCTGTATTGTCTTCTATGTGTTTGATGAAATGCTTATGAGAAAATGAATAAATGTTAGGCCCACCTGGATCGGGCAAAGGTACTCAATCCCCCATCATTAAGGATGAATACTGCCTTTGCCACTTGGCAACAGGTGATATGTTGAGAGCCGCTGTAGCAGCCAAAACTCCACTCGGGATTAAAGCTAAAGAAACCATGGAGAAGGTATATGCTTTGCTTTGACTTAGTAATATGAGTACTTAACAGTTTTTGCCCAAATTGATCATTCTTGCAAAGGGCTAAAAGCAAGAAATAGCAAAATAGGACATGCTATAATAAACAAACCAATGATTAATGAAAGTAGGTTGATATTTTCAATTATTTTTTTGTTTATGGTTAATTGGTTATTTAATAGGGTGAACTAGTGTCGGATGACCTAGTGGTTGGGATAATTGATGAAGCAATGAAGAAGCCATCATGCCAAAAAGGGTTCATTCTTGATGGTTTTCCTAGAACAGTTGCCCAGGCCGAGAAGGTATTTACCCATTTACCCTTATCTCCTTCCTTCTACTTACAAATTTTAAAACCTTTTTTTTTACCAATTACTCTCTCATTTGTTGCAGCTTGATGAGATGCTTCAAAAACAAGGAACTAAGATCGATAAGGTGCTTGATTTTGCAATTGATGACTCCATTTTAGAAGAAAGAATTACTGGCCGTTGGATTCACGCTTCAAGTGGTAGGACCTACCACACAAAATTTGCACCTCCTAAGGTTCACGGAATCGATGATGTAAGCATATAGACATCTAGAATAATGAGTCATGTCATGTTTATGATGTGATGGTAATTTGTATTTTTGAAGGTTACTGGAGAGCCATTAATGCAAAGAAAAGATGATACTGCCGAAGTTCTCAAGTCAAGGCTGCAGGCTTTTCATAAGCAAACTAAACCAGTAAGTGTTTCTTTTTGAGTCCTAACTTTTTACATTTTCTCTCTCGTTTATTATTTTTTAATTGTCATTTATTCTGACAACACTTTTTTTTTTTTTTTTACCGAACTGTAGGTTATAGACTACTACAGTAAGAAGGGTGTGGTTGCAATGCTTCCAGCAGAGAAACCCCCAAAGGAGGTAACTGTTGAGGTTCAGAAAGTTTTATCTTCTTAAAGGATTTAGTGTTTTCTGTTTTGATTGTTATTATTACTTTACTTGAATATTGTATGTAATCCGATACATTATCGGATCGATCGGCCAAACTTTATTTGCTACAATTTCCATTTTTCCATCCATGAGAGGATTGAGGGCAGCCAGCTGTTTCAGTTGCTGACATTGACATAGAATAAAACTCTATTATTCCAACTTTGAATCTAATTTGCTTGATATTCTAAAATCTTGAATTAAAACACTATTTATTTGCCATTGTAATATGAATTAATTATGGCATATAATACTAAAGCTTAGAAGTGACATCTGAGTCAGAGAGAGCCATCTTGATCAACTCCTTTCTTAGTACTTTTCCAGGAGCATTCTTTGGTATCGAATCGATGAAACGGACTCTTCGTAGTTTCTTGTATGGTGCAACCTACATGTTGTTTGCAATGGTTGTTAATAATTTAGGGAAACAGTGACGAAATGAATAAATAAATAAATAAAGTTACCTGTTTTGCCACAAAATCTTTGACTTGTGTTTCGTTAATGGTGCTTCCTTTTCTTCTAACAACAAATCCCATCGGTACTTGTCCTGCCTTCTCATCTGGATACCTGCAAGGTTGTGTTTGTTACACCGGACATTACTAAAAAAACAGAACTGGACAAGTTTTTTAAGGCTATTTTCTATGTTGAACAGGTCCTTGTCCCACCTTGGATGGGAGTCATGAACTAGCATCAACCCAATGCATGTTGACCATAATTCGGTACATAACATGTTCTGTCATGTCCTATGTAACAAATGACATTTTAGGTTGGTTTTGTTGCGTTGTACAAAACACCATGTCATTGTCTCATAGTTGGATTTTCTATTATGAAGAGTGGGGTATTCTTCTTGATTCAAAAATTATGTATTGATATTTGGGATAATTTTAAAAAAATGTTGTATATATTTGACCTCTATGTTTAATAATTTTATGTGATTTTAGTAAGTTTGATAGGGGAAAATAGAGCATTGAACCGACAGCCAATAATGTTTGATCATTTTGATCTGACCCGATGGAAAATTGTGTGAATATCATTTTCATATGTATTATCGAAAATAACCTTAGGGAGGAGGGAGTCGTTCCCTCCTAACCCACCGAACCCACTGCCACATCAATTTTTCTCTTCTATTTTTCTTCATCTTTCACTCGTTGAAGCGGGAGTGGTACCACCGATAACTCTATTGCTAATTAAAATTTTATATTTGATTGTTTTGTATTTTTTTTTAATTGAGTGGCTTCAAAAAGATAGGATTTTCGTGTGTTGTGGGTTCGCAAAGATGATGAAAAATAAAAGAGAAAAAAATGATGTGGCAGTGGGTTCAGTGGGAATGACTCCCTTTGCCCTTAGAAAGCATGTTAGTGTCATAAGTTTTGTACTATGTAACAAAAAACAATCTTTGAGGGGAGAAAAGCATACGGAATCACAGCTGCTTCGGTAATGTCAGGGTGCGTATGTAGAATGTGTTCCAATTCTGCAGGAGGCACCTACATGTCACGTGGTTTAAATAACTTAGAAAGATCATAGACACAATGCTTTGATATGAATGTATTTTGATTAATCTACAAACCAAAACCAAAATAACCATGAGAATTGAATGATCAATGTACCTGATAACCTTTATATTTGATCAACTCTTTTAATCTGTCCACAATAAATAAGAAGCCTTCATTATCAAAGTAACAAAGATCACCCGTTCTCAACCATCCATCCGAGTCCACCATTGTATCACTAACTTCTTTATCATCCACATAGCCTTAAAAAAAAATTATCCACAACTTTAAAAAGAGAAAAAGTAATAAGCTTTTTCCCATAATAGGCAATAGCCATAAATTTCGCATATGAAAAATAAAGTTGTAATTATGTATTGACCTTTCATAATGAAGGGACCTCGAAGCCATAGTTCACCATGGCTCATGGGAGGCAAACCGACACCGGTGTTGGGATCAACTATCTTGGCTTGACAACGGGCTATGAGCCGCCCTACGGTGCCTGCGATTGTGCTCTCATATGGACCTGCAATTCGTGAGACTCCACCCGTTGTTTCCGTCAATCCATACGCCTGAACACAGTAATCACAATCCAAAAACTACTTCACTTAGCTTTTGAGATCTTTTAGGAGCTTTTACATTTTAGCGTTTATGTTATGTAGTTTTATTATATATTTCAAAAGTTTATAATAATTTTATTAAACACTTGTACATAAAGAAAAACACCAGCTACCGGCTAGTTTTTGTTATACATACCCATATTTGATGTTTATTTTTAATGGTTTGGTTCCTTAAGTTTAAATGTTATTATGATTTGTGTATGTTTTTAACATTATAATCATATTCTAACTAAAATGTTTGTTGCTTGTTATATTATATTTATAATCAAATTTATAGTTTATGATAAATTTTAAATTTAAGTTGAAGTATGTTAAAGATGTAATTTTTTATTTAATAAAATTCTAGCTTTAAAGAATATAATAATTAGCTACAATAGTTTATAATTATCTATAACATAATTTATAAAGTTAATGTAACAAAAACTAGAAAAAAAAATATATGAATTAATATTGTAATAAACCAATAGGGATCATAAGGGTATTATTGAGCATCTCTATGGAAAAAAAAAGGAGATACGTATGGATGTCTTTTTGTGTTAAAAATAGCATAATTGGTTGAAAACAAACCTCTATAGCAAAGTATGACTTTCTTTTTTTCTAAAAAGAGTAAAATATGGTTATATTAGTTCTTTAAATAAATAAATAAACAACGCAACGATTAAGTATGTCACCTTGGACCCATTTTTTAGAGAGACTAAAAAATGTAGTATTTTACAAAAGAAAATGCAAGTTGTTTTCAAACTTTTGGTGAGTTCAATAGTTGAAGTTATTATTTTATAATATCAATAAAAAATTACGAAAAGTGTCTTTTGGGAACAAGTTACGATAAGATGTCATGCAACAAACCTGCAACAACGACACAGTCGGAAATCTTTTCTTGAACTTATCGATCACGGCCATCGTAAGCGATGCTCCGCCACACAGTACATTTTCCAGAGAGCTCCAATTGGTTCGATTTACCAAATGGTCATTATCGCCGTCCACCAAACCTACCACCACCGGCGGCGCCGATGCTAGATGAGTAACACTAAACTCCTCAATCGATGTCAACATTAGACGCAGATCAAACCTCGCCATCGAAACCAAACTCTCCCCAAACGCAACCAACCTCATGCATAACCCTAACCCGTATATATGAAAATACGGCACCGTGCAGAGGTACACGGCCGGAGAAGATCTATCTTGACGTCCGAAGTTTGCTCCGGCAATCGTTGATATCATGTTCCTATGCGTTAATTTCACCCCCTTGATCTTCCCTGTAGTCCCCGACGAGTACAAAATCGCAGCTGTATCGGACTGCAAAACTTCAATTTTTGTTTCAGATCCATTTGGTTTAGTTCGCATCATCGATTCAAATTCGTTCGAGTCGATTACCACGACCGGATTAGGAAATCCAACTTCTAACAACTTGTTAGCTGACTCCGCCGTCGCGAAAGCAACCGCCGGTTTACAGAGGCGGAGTTGGCGAGAAATCTCTTGAATCGAACTAGCAGGATTCGAAGGCGAAACAACAACACCAAGCGAGAAGAGAGAAAGGTACAGAATCGGGAGATTGGCGGAATTGGGACAAATAACGAAAGCACACGCTCCATTTGAGAGAGACAATGGTGGTTGGCGGAGTGAGGCTGCAAGGTTGCGCACAAGAAGTGGGACGTCGGAGTAAGGGATGAAGCGGCGGGTGGTGGCGTCAATGATAGATGCTCCGGTGGTAGTGGTGGTTGTTTTGGGGAGCGATAAGATGAAATCGGTTATGGAAAAAGGAGTGGACTGTGGAGGTAGAGGATATGGAGGTCTAAGGCTATGGTAGATTTGGGTTTTGGAGCAAAATCCATTTTGGGGATTGATTGATAACTGGGAATTCGAGATTGTCATTTTCGTTTGAAGCTAATTTGTGACCTTGAATTCTTATTGAAAATTTATTGATTAATGGAGACAAATAGAGAATCAAAGGCCATTGCGATAAATCTGATTATAAAGTTCTTTAGATTATGCCTTATTTAATTTTAATCAATGTAATTATATACATATTTTTTCTAGAAGTGGTAAGCACAGATACATTGATTTTAATTTATTTTTTCTTGATTTTAATCTGTGCTTACCACTTCTATTAGATACATGATTTCTATTAGACAGAGAAATCAAATTACCACTTCTATTAGATACATGATTTCTATTAGATAGAGAAATCAAATATCACCACTTCTATTAGATACATGATTTCTATTAGATAGAGAAATCAAATATCCTCCGTTAGTCTATTTTTTTATTTACATAGGCAAATATTAAAATCAAGGAAAAATAAATTAAAAGAAAATTAGTGCTACATGACTATTATTATTAAATAGAAAAGAATAAGATAAAATATGTTTTACTATTAAAAAGTAAAATATGTTATAAGAAATAAAATTTTATAATTTGCTTATATATTTCTAAAACTTATTTATATGCGACATTAGAAATTTTATTTGTAAATCTACTATTTTTATTTAAAATTAACAATTTTATTTAATTTTTATTTTAAATTAAAACAACATACAATTAAACATGTTTAAAAACATGTTATTTGAGAAACAAACCAACTATTGATAAAGATTGTTATTGATCCTATCATATTGATTATTTAGATATTTATTAGTTATATTAAGTTATTATTTGATAAAATAAACAAAATGATGATATTATATTTAAAAAAGATAAACTAGAGCGCCCTTGTTAGTCAAAATTGAAAATTTATAATCTTTAAAACCAATTCAAATTGATTGACTAAAATTACATTTTGAGGGAAGTTCTTTACGGTTTTATGCAATTAAAACTTGTATTAGTGATTTTTTGAAATTGATTCTTTCCATAAGATGATATCAAAAATTGTGCTATCACAGAGATGAAATTGAAAACTTTAAAAAGTTATAGAAATTAAAAAATCGGATTTAATGCCTCTGATTAATAATGGAAAATTTTTAATTTAGCAAACATATATGTAAATTTTAAATTAATAAGATAGTAATACATAAAAACTTCCCTTCTTAATTCTAGAAGAAAAATATGGAAATAAAATAATCTTCCAATTATGGCTAATAATTCAAATTTATTTTCTGCTTAGTTTTAAGATATAATATTTCGTCACTATATATAACTCTGAACCGTAAATAAGGGTTATTAATATTATATATCAAATTAAATAAAAAAGATAAAAATGAAAAATACTAACAAAATGACACGTGTCAGCTTAATGTTTAAAATGATGACATGTGGCATTTTTAGGTTTTGTTTATTAGAGGAGGTAGATTATCGAGTTTTAATTAATTTTAGAAATTTAATCATTAAATAGTTGAGATGGAGCGATGTATAAAACAAGTTATTTTAAGAGAAATGATCCATAATAGTTATTCTTTGAAAAAACTATGAACACAAATCTTTCTAACATGAATATCTCGATTTATAATCACACCAGTTCGTTTTACATGAACAATTACAAACAAAAACTCACTACTTATACATATTCTACTCTCACAGTGATTGTCTCTCAAAGATTGAAGTGTAAACCCTGACTTGTAACTATCAAATAGAGAAGATGAGAGAACGAACATAGAAAATATCACGAGTGTATGTGTGTAATGAATAATCTAACCGTAATCTGCATACCCGTTACATTTATATCATGGGATGAAAAGATTTGAAGATCCCTCTTGTAAAACCGAGTGAAGTTACAGCTAAGCCCCTCATCATATGCACTTGAGCACCTGCACCCAAATACAAATATACGATACATAAAATATACAATAATGAAATTAATAACAAAATGGTTAGTTTGACCAACAACTTTTATATATTTCGACAACCCCGCTCAAACTAGACATTTTGAAAAAAAAATACAGAAAAAAGACAATTTTCAACTAATTATGTCATGTTGAAAAGACACAAGAGACTTAGTAAGAATGTGTGCAACGTAATTAGAAGAATTTATTTTAACCAATTTAATAATACCCCTTGAAATCTTTTCTCTTATGAAATGCACATCAATTTCAAAGTGTTTTATTTTATCATGAGAAAATAGATTTAAAGCTAGGTTAATAGCAGCTTCATTATCACAAAATACATTTAGTTGAACAAGATGTTTAAACCCCAAATCATACAACACTTTTAATACCTAAATTAATTCACATAACAAATACCCAAGAGCCATATATTCAGACTATATTGAGAAGCGAGATATAGTAGCTTTGCTCCAAGAAACAAGAGAATTATCAAAGTACACAAGATAACCAATAACAATTTTCCTAAAGAAACTGCATTTAGCCCAATCTGAAAACCCATTTAAATCCAGAGAATCAGATTTCAGATAACACACTCTTTTTCCAGGACTAGTTTTAAGATACCGTAACTATCTTAGAGTAATTTGTAAATGAGATTTTGTAAGACTTATGCATAAATTGGCTTAAGACTTGAATAGAATAAGAAATATTTGGTCTAGTGATTGTGAGATAAATCAGTTTTCCCACAAATTTATGAAATTTTGTTATGTTTTCAAGAAAAACATCACAACTTTTAGCGTTACCACTACCAACAACAAGATTAGTTTCAAGGGGAGTTTGAACTGGTTTACATCCCAACATTCCAAATTCATTAATTAATTCCATGTAATATACTATTTGAGAAAGACAAACTACATCTGGAACATCAATTACTTTCATTCATAAAAAATATTTTAGCTTACCTAAATCTTTTATTAAGAACTGAAATTTAAGAAATTCCTTTACTCTACTAATTTCAATTTCACAATCTCTTGTTAAGATAATATCATCGACATAGACTAAGAAAATCAAAACAGATTTTCTAACATTCTTTACAAACATTGAGTAGTCACCAAGACTCTGTTTGAACCCAGAACTAACTAAAGAAGAACATAACCTTTCATTCCACTACTACGTGGAGCCTGTTTTAAAACATATAGTGATTTTAATAATTTACAAACCCTAGTATCACATTTACTATGGTATCCTGGAGGTAATGTCATATATACATCTTCCTTAAGATTACTATACAGAAAAGCGTTATTAATGTCAAATTGGTACAAATTCCAGTTACGATTAATAACAAGAGTAATAATAATACGAATTGTAACAACTTTGGCAACATGAGAAAAAGTCTCCGCATAGTCAACTTCTTCCCTTTAGTTGTAACCTTTAGCTACAAGATGAGCTTTATATCGCTTCATTTCACCATTTGCCTTATATTTAATTTTAAAAATCGAACGACACCTAATAGGATTCGTATGTTTAGGTAACTCAATTATTTCCCAAGTTTTATTTCTATAAAGTGCTTCCATTTCTTTATTTATTGCTTTGAACCACTCAGGATTAAGAGAAGCTTCATAACAAGACTGGGGTTATACTGTTTTATCCAGATTGGTGATAAAGCACTTATTTCGTGAGACAAACAAGAATAACTAATTGTCTTTTTTGTAACATCCGGATCCTCGAGGTAGGAATTTAAAATAAATTATGAGTTTTAGGGTTGGCCACGACATGATGAAGGTATCATCATGATGTGGCATGGAAATTTGAGGCGTGTTTTTCCGTTTAGGTGTCACGACGTGACACTCTATTGGTCACGATATGACATATGATGTAACATCCCAAAAATACGGACCAAAAATTACATTTTAAATTAAGCAAATATAAAATCGTATGTCTGAAAATCACATAATAATAGTGCATATATCAAACCAATGTATCCCTAGTCTGAACATGTCATAACAAAATCATATCAGAGTATAAATCCCATAGATCTCTGGTGCGGAAAATCGTGTGTGCGATGTGCTGCTACCGGGCCGGCTCCTTTCCCTTTGAGGAAGAAGTACCTGAAACCAAAACTGAAAACCGTAAGCACAAAGCTTAGTGAGTTTCCCCATCATACCACATACCATATAACAAACATACTGCCGGACAATTATGGGGTGCCCGACCTACCCTGTCGGACAGTTCTGGGGTGCCCGACCTACCCTGTCAGGCAATTCTGGGGTGCCCGACCTACCCTCTGGTTTATCTTAACCGACTACGGGGACTATTTCACCCCCTACTACTACCATATGATAACATAGCATAACATACTGCCAGACGATTCTGGGGTGCCCGACCTACCCTCCGGTTTATCTCAACCAGACCCAGGGACTAGTCCCCTACCTACCACTATCACATAATCACGTAGCATACATGCGCATAATGTTGGATTAGGTGTCTAAGCCCATAACTATTTTGGTATGTACTTGGCCCGATTATGAGCATGGTCATTTTGGGTTGCCTTCACCATAGCAACTGATAGGATGAATTAAGGAGAAAGAGGATTAATTATGATTTATTAATATATTATAAGAATAATATATTAAAAGAGAAATCATATTGTTTAATTAATATTAGTCAAGAATTAATTAAGAATTACTTTTGTGGCTAAAAGAGATTAATTAAATAAAGGGGACTAATATTGCAATTATATGATAGTTGCAATTGGGCTATGGATTCTTAATGGAAAGGGGATTGGACGAAATCTATGGGAAGCCCATATGGATTTCGTCCAAGGGCTTTCTAGAGGGACTCCATGGGTTGCTTAAGGCCTAAGCAGAGAATTAGGGTTTCACCTGAAACCCTAGCAGCCCACACAAGTATATAAAGACCCCTAGGGCTCCCAAAAATGTGGCTAACACTTCTAAGAGAACCCTAGACGTTTTTGGTGCCTCCTCCTCCCTTTCCTAAGTCATCTTGTTGCTCATGGTGTTTGTGACTCCATTAGAGGTGCAACACTTGAGGCACTAAGCTTTCAAGAGTCAAGATCAAGGAGGTTTGTGATTGTTATTGTTACATAACAATCAAGGTAAAGATCTAAACCCTTTTATTATGATAATATCGATTATTATATGCTA